AAGCACAAATGGGGAGAATAGATGCCATGCCACATGAAGATCGCCTAGGAACCGAGGGGTGCTGGAAGACACAAGGACCTTCCTCCAGAGCCCACAGAGAGAGAGCCTTCCCCTAGAGCAAGTATCCTGAATTCATCTGTCTAGCCTCCTGAACTGTGAGAAAATAAATGTCTGTTCTTTAAAGCCACCCACTCATGGTGTTTCTGTTACAGCAGCACTAAGAAACTTAAGACAGGCAGTGACCTAGGTGTCACCATTTTAAGGATCAGGAAAGCCCACCCAGCTAACAGCCTCCCCTTTCATGCTGTGTCTTGGCCTTAAGGTTGAGTCCCCTGAGGGCTACCATCCTGTTCCCGCCTTGGTTGGCATATGAAGCCTTGCTAGTCAGTCACACTCCCTCCCCTGCTCACAGTTTTTCCAGGTGGGAGCAAAAAGAGGTATGAATGATTTGCATACTTCAGTGAGTTGAGTGGAGGGACTGAGGGGGTGGGGTGCACAGAGGAGGAGGCCGGGAGCTTTGAAAATAAACGCCGCCCAGCTCCGTTTTCTGGCTGGTCAGCTCCTCCAGATTGGAAGAGGTGAATTTATTCTGTCGGGAACACTTGAATTGTTTTTGACATAAAGAAAGGCTCAGAGGGCAGGCTGGAGACTGGGATGTAATAAGCTCTGCTTCCACAGACAAGCAGGCTGGCAAGCCAGAAATCTGTCTTCGTTTTAAGCAGTATGCTGACTGCTCTGAAACCAACTCTGCCCTTGCCCAGTTTCTGGAAAATGGGCCCCCAGTAAGCTGAGCCTTGAGAGCAGAACTGATTTATTAATCAGTTGTTTCAATCCAGAACCATGTTATGCTCTACGATTATTACTTCATTCAACCTCACAGCAACCCTGAGCGACATGCATTATTATCTCCATCCTACAGATGGGGAAGCTGTGACTGGGAGATGGTGAGCAATGTGCCCAAGGCTTCTAAGAGATACTGGCAAGATTGTAAGAGAGACTGACGGGCAGGACTTGAACCTGGATCTCTCTGGCTCCGAGGCACTTGTTTTTGCCCTGCTCTCATGACGCCAGCAGTGTCCTGAGCTACCTGTGGTTTCTTTTAAGAGATTTTCAGTCCAAAAGTATTGTACTATGTGTCTGGATGTTTTTGAAGGGGTCTTGGACACAAGCAGGGGCAGCAACTGTCACGTATCCAGTGCTTGGTATGTACCAGGCGTTGTACCCAGCACACCCACACACAGGTACTCCCCGCTTTTCCTCCTTAGAGTATTTTACAAGTTCATGAACTCTGAGGCTCAGAGAGGTTATGGTGACTTGGCCTCTTGACTTCTTGGGTGACTTACCCAAGAGGATTACTCTGGTGGAGCCAGACATAGAAAGCAAGTTTATCTGATTACCACTATACCAAACTGCCTTATAAGATCTTAATTTTAGTAATTTAGATTTAGCAATCCAAGAGAGGTTAATAAAGTGACCCAGAATCACTCAGTATTTCAGAGCTGGGCTTAGAACTCACTCTCTTAGCTCCCAGCCCCGCCTTCTCTTCAGCTCACCAGATTGCCCTCCTGCTGCCTGTAGACCCTGCACTGGAAGCATTCCATCCTCTGGGGGACTCGCTATCCTAATAAATGGTTCAGCCCCAGGTGTTCAGCAAGCCACAGCCAGGGTAGGACGAACTAACAGACACAGTGTCGAAGGGCCCAGGCTGGCAGTACCATCTTGGTAAGCACATGTGCTCAGAGTCTGTACCCTGGAACCACTTTATTGCTGAAACAACTTCATAATGAGGCCCTTTCAGGACATCAATATCAAAACCTCCTTGAGCTGAGTCTGAAATGGGCCTATTTGGTGACAAATCCATCTTCGTGACAGTTTGTATGTCAGTGAGATTAAACGGGATTTGCAGAAAGCACTCCAAAATCCGATGCTCTCGATTCTGAGGGAAATACAGTTTGCAAGGCCCCATTTTGTAAGGCATGCTGCTTCCTGGGAGGTACATCTAGATATCCCAGTATATCTGTGTGTACATGTGTGTTTGTGTGTATAGCAAGTCGCTGTGTGGTGCAAATGGGTAAGTGCTTGGCTACTAACCAAAATGTTGGCAGTTCAAACCACCCAGAGGCTCTTCAGGAGAAAGACCTGGTGATCTGTTTCTGAAAGATCACAGCCATGAAAACCCTATGGAGCACAGTTCTACTCTGAAACACATGGGGTTGCCATGAGTCAGAATCGACTCGATGGCAACTAACAGCAATAGATAGATAGATAAATAGACCGACCAACAGAATGATTGATTGATTTATATAAAATCCCTCAGGGTTGTTTCGGTTGCAAGCAACAGAAATCAACACTAGGCAGCTAAATTAAAAAAGAAAACAGTTGGGAGGTATATCTTCTGGAATCAAAGGAAGAATTGGAAAACCAACACTTGGGACCGTAATTAACCAGGCAGCCTTGGGCCCCTCCGCAGTAGAAGGTCAGAAGCTTCCAGAGGGCTGCCTGACGTTAATGCAGTCCAGCTCTGTGGTCTGCCATCTCTGCGTCTCGGCTGAGGTTTCAAAGGATGAGAAACTGATTGACTCAGCTTGGGCCAAGCGTCCACCCTGGACACTGTGCTTCAGCCAGGCATTCTATCACTGGGGAGCTGCCTCTGTGATAGAGGCAATAGAAGCAGGAATTATTTTTGAGCAGGGCACTCTAAGAAGTGGCTACTAAAATATTCATGGCTATAATAGTAATTTGAGGCTTGGATAGATAGAGACATCCACCTTTTTATAATCTTATCTATTTGTATGTCTCTGTATCTATTGTGTATGTGTGTATATATACACTCTGCCCACCCCTTTGTAGTCAGCCCTCCCAGCCTTCCCTTCGTGTCCATACCATTCATATCTTAAAATAATTAGCGGCAAATGCAATCTTGGGCCCTTGTTTAGAGGTAAATGACAAGAATGTGAGTGCCATGCAGGCAGAAACTTTGGCTGCCTTGTTAATCCTGTATCTCCAAGTGCCTAGCATGGTGCCTGGCACGTAGTAGGTGCTCAGTGATTGTTGAATGAGTAACAACCACCCACCAGTGCTGAATACTCCCCCCCCGCCCCCAGGTGGTTCCAGGTACTTTACTATCTTCATGCAAGAACATTTTTTACACCCATATGTCTCCTCCCCAACACTCAGAGTCATAGATAAGGTGCATACCTTTCCTGGAGAGCCCTGGCTCTGCCTGTGTCTAATATAGGACTGATATGAAAGTGCTAGCTGACATTAGATGTCCAACTATGGATGAGAGGAATCGTGGGTGCTTGAAAACTATGACGTCTTTGTTCAGAGGGACAAAGGGAGAGAGGAATCCAGGCCAGGACAGGCTGACTCAAGCCACAGGCCCTCAGACTGGCTAAGTATAGCTCACCCAAATTCTGTCTCGGTGTCCTGCCTTATGAACTACCCCAGAAACAATGGCATGAAGGCTGTGTATCATTTGGCATAGCATTAACTAAAGCATAATTATAAAGAGTGTACTACAAATGATATTCTGGGGGTTTTAGAATGAACTTCTAATTCATCTCTCAACCATGCCCTCTCAACTGGGAATCTGAACCAATTGTGGCTTCGGAGAATTGTCCTTATTCTAACCTGGTCCAGGTTCTCCCTTGTCATTCGTTGTTACCAAACCCTGTGTCCTTCTTGGACGGTGGCTTTGATTTGACCCATACTGACCAGGCTAGCATAGTCACTTCCTCTTAGCAGACCAGCCTCAGTCCCTCCTTGCACCCAGGCTCAAAGTCTAGTTGAGTAAAGAGACCTTAATAGCACAACAGTAAGCAGCTGTATTGCGAAGGAAAGCTACTTGTTCCAGTATTTTGCAAAATGCCTTCCACTGGCTACCATTTCCCCAAGAGGCTGCTTCCTTGTTTCAGAGATTACAAGCAGACAGTGCATGCTGGCGTTGAGACGCAAGGGTCAGGGTCTGAGTCAGAAGTGACGTACCAAGGCCATGGCCAAAAGCGATCCCAGAAGATCAAGCCAGGGAATAATCATAGCATCACAGTATAATAGTGATTGTTGCTACATGCCTGCCATATGCCAAGTGTGCTAAGCAATACTTGTATTACCTGGTTAGGTCTTCACAACTGCAGGAGGTAGATCTTACTACCACCATTTTAGGGAAGAGGAACCTGAGTCACTTGCTGAGATGACAAGACTCAAAGTGACAGAGCCAGGATTCAAATCCCATCTGTATCCATATAGCCTCATGCCATATGACCCTCCCTCAGACTGTCTCCTATTCCAAGTAATGGCCACAGAGCTGGGAAATGGAGACAAATCTAAAGGGGCAGGAGCTGAGTGTCAGAGGAGAAGAGCAGAAGGTCAGGCGCAAAGGCAGGAGTGAGTGAGGGGATGGAGAACTTGCCCTCTAGGAAGTGTGGGTGCCAGAGCTCTGTCTTATTGGGTACTGGCTGCATGAGGCAGGCCTGTCCACTTAAAGGTTCAGGGTCTGTAGGATTCAAGGGGTTGAAGATACATGGAGATGGCACCTGGAAGTGCCCAAGTTGATGGTTCTCTCATCAGCTTTACATCCAACTGCTCAGCTTCCGTGTGGCAAGAAGTGCAGTAGCCATGTTCGGCCCTCCCAGTAAACCCAGCTAGATGGGCTCCAACCCCTGTGAGTCCTTTGAAAGCTTCCTTCTGCACTTGGCCCTGGCTGGAGTGCCCACGCTGTAGAAGTGGGGGAGCTTCACCCCAGCCCCTCCTGGCTGTCCTGCCCTCTGTTCACTTTCTACAAAGACCCACCTCTCTGGCTCAGAGGCAGAAGCTCTCAATTCTACTCCGGTCTTCCTGAGTGGTATTTGCAAGCTACTTAGCCTTCTTGGGCCTCAGTTTCCCCAACTTTAAACTGGGAGGGTGACTTGGGCATTCTCCCTTATACTCCCTGCCTTCGTGGGAAAGGCCTTGCCTGGTGTCACGGGGACCCTGTGTCTCCTCCTGCCTTCTCTTTTCAGGAAGTCTGTCATCCAGCTCGACCTTGCCAACACCAAGAAAGCGATGATTGTCCCCGCATTCGAGACACTACGCTACCGGCTCTCATTCCCCAAATCTAAAGCGGAGCTGCTGTCGATGCTGGACATGGGAACGCTTTTCACATTCAGGTGAGTGGCCCTCACTGCCGTCCCTCACTGTTGTCGTTAGGTGCTGTCGAGTCAGTTCCGACTCATAGTGACCCTGTGTACAACAGAACGAAACACTGCCTGGTCCTGTGCCATCCTCACAATCGCTGCTATGCTTGAGCCCATTGTTGCAGCCACTATGTCACTCCATCTCGTTGAGGGTCTCCTCTCTTTTGCTGACCCTCTGCTTTACCAAGCATGATGTCCTTCTCCAGGGACTGGTCCCTCCTGATACCATGTCCAAAGTACTTGAGACAAAGTCTCACCATCCTCGCTTCTAAGGAGCACTCTAGCTATGCTTCTTCCAAGACAGATTTTTCCTTCTTCTGGCAGTCCATGGTATATTCAGTGTTCTTCGCCATCTCTTAGGGCTACCCAAAGACCTGCTGTCTCCTGGGAAACTCAGACACCAATGCCGTTGGCCCTGAAGAGAAGTTTGTTGCTGACATTAGACTATTTTAAAGCCAAGGAAAGCACCACTGGCCCTGAATAATGTTTTTGGAATATTCTCTCCCCAAATGCCATGTACTTTATCTTGTACAAGGTGACTGATATTATCTGTCCAGAGGGAAGGATAGGCATGTTGAGTAGGAAGGCACAGTTTAATTTTTTGTGTGTGTCTGCTTCTTTCTAAACTCAGTTTAGGTTCTTGCTCCCAACTCCTGGCTCTGAATTCTCTTTTGTTTGCTTGTTCATTCATGCATTTGGTAAGTGGGCTTCATTTTATTAGCACCGTGGTTGTTGGTCTCTCTCCTACTCCCCACCCCCGACCCCCGCCGTGTGTGTGTCTGTGTGTGTGTGTGTGAGTGGTCTTTCCTGTGGTCCTCAGGCCTGGGGTGGGCAACAGTAGCTTCATCACCTAAAATCATCAGGGTGAGTCTAAAACTGCACACAACAGAGGTGGCAGCCGACTCTCCTGTTGCCTGAGTGACAGTGGCAAACAAAGCAATCATTTTCCTGATTTCCCAGTCCCCTAAGTCCTGCAGGACTGCTGGCAGGGGACTATCCCAGGAGTCCATATGGCTACACAGGTATAATTGGGTTCCATCTCCTGGGAACAGGCTGTGCCATTAGTGTGGCACCCCTGGGGAAGTAGGAGTCCTGCTGGGTCTCTTAAGAGCAATCTGAAGACAGAGCTGTTGCTTTTGCCTGCTCCTCTTTCAAAGAGATGCTTCATTTTGAACAGTGGAGTCCCTGGGTGGTGCAAGCAATTAAGGTTCAAGTCCACACTCAGTTGCTACCTGAAAGGTTGAAGGTTCAGGTCCACCCAGTGGTGCCTCAGAAGAAAGCCCTGGTGATCTATGTCCAAAAAACCAGCCATTGCAAAGCCCACGAAGCACAGTTCTGCTTTGACACACGTGGGGTCTCCATGAGTTGGCATCAACTCAGCAGTAACTGTTTGGTTTAAGAATGGCCAGCTCTTCCTTTGAGCGAAAAAGCAACATTTCTAGACAATCTGACTTTTATTGAAAAGATTATAGTAATAATAACTTCGGTTTTCATACCACTATTAAGTTTGTGGAATGCTTTCCCAAACTTTATTTTGTCATCAAAGTAATCCTGGAAGGTAGATTATTCATTCTGTGATTCAGAGGGTATTGTTTTCACATCCTGTACAGATGAAGAAATTGAGGAATCAGAATCAGAGGTCCTAGTGGATCCTGGACTCAAATCCAGCCTTTTTTCCTCTACCCAGAGTTCTGAAAATTGATCTAAAAGAGCTAGTACCCCTATGAAACAAGCATTCTTTCTTTTTAGAAAGGAATAATACCTTCCATTTAGTGAGTCTTAACGTCTGTCCTATAGGGTCGCTATGAGTCAGAATAAGCTCGACAGCAACCGGTTTGGGTTTTTTTTTTTTTTTTGGTTTAACGCATAGCAGTAGCCCTGGTGGCATAGTGGATAAAGCACTTGGCTACGCTTGGCTGCTAACCAAAAAGTTGGGGGTTTGAACCCATGAGCCACTCCTCGGGAGAGAGATGTGGCAGTCTGCTGCTGTAAAGATTTATAGCCTTGGAAACCCTATGGGGCAGTTCTACTCTGTCTTATAGGGTCACTATGAGTTGGAATTGACTTGACAGCAAAGAGTTTGGTTTTGGTTAGGTTAACGTAATGTAGGCACTGTGATCAGCTCGTTCAATCCTCACAACAAATCTACTAGGCAGGTATTATTATACCCATTTTACAGATAAAGAGCTAGAGGCTCTGAGAGGTTAAATAACTTGACCAGGAACACACAACCAGTAAGTGCTAGAATCCATGAACTCCAGATCCTGCGCTCTTAATCTAAATACCATCAAACCTCTTTAATCAAGTCCTAAATTTTTACACCATTCACTGTTTCGAAGATGCAGGGGAGAAACTTGCTGCTGGAAATTAAGACTTTGAGGCCAAACTTTAGTCCAAGTCTCCAAAGCATCCTTCCTTCTCACTCCATCCCCAGGTGATTAGAGAACTAATTTCAAGGCCAAGTCAGTGAGTGTGAGATCTGGGGTGTGGCCTGCTGTGTCCATGATTGCTGCTATGGCTACCAGCTTGCAAGCTACCATGCCAGGTGCTAAATTACAGACCTCCCCTCCAAGAAATTGCTTTTGTCCCTTTCTCTCCAAACGATAAACTCTTAAACCTCAAAGCAGCTGAAAACTACTCCCACCACACCTGGAATGAACGAGAAAGCATCCACTCTCCAAGTCCTCCAGGGCAGTGGTTCTCAGAGCGGGGTCCCTGGACCAGTAGCATCAGCATCACTGGAACTTGTTTGAGATGCAAAGTCTGACACTTCACTCCACATGTTCTGAATCAGATACTCTGGGGGTGGAAACCGGCAATATGAGTTTTAGACAGTTTTCTAGGTGATTCTGATGCACACTTGAGTCCCTGGGTGGCACAAAAGGTTAAGTGCTTGACTTCTAACTGAAAGGTTGGCAGTTCGAACCTACCCAGAGGCTTCTCGGAAGACAGGCCTGGTGATCTGTTTCCAAAAGGTCACAGCCTTGAAAACCCTGTGGAGCAGTTCTGCTCTGCACACATGGGGTTGCTGTGAGTCAGAATCGACTTGACAGCAACTGACAACAACAGCTCAAAGCAAAGTGACCCAAATCTCTTCTGTAAATGGCATCCTGCAAAGAAAGCTCTCTCGTCACTATTTTTTTGGAGGCTACCTGGTGTTTATGGTCTCAGAGAACAATCCCTGCAGTTCAATATCTGCTGGACTGATAGTGGACTCCTCTGGTTGTTTTCAGGCCATGGCTCGTTTTAATGTTGGGTTAATTGTAGGTTAAGTTCCTGGATGGTGCAAACGGTTTGCACTCAAGTACTAACTGAAAGGTTGGCAGTTTGAACCCACCCGGTAGCACTGGGGAAGAAAGCCCTGGCAGTCTGCTTCCATAAAGATTACTGCCAAGCAAACCCTACAAAGCTTGGTTCTACTCTGTAACACATGGTATTGCCACGAGTCAGAATCAACTCAATGGCAACGGGTTTGGTTTTTTGGTTAATGACAACTTCACTGCGTTCTGGGCTGACCAGCCATTCAACCTCCTTATCACTGTTTGAGACAGAGCCAGGGGAAGCTGCCTCCCCACCAGAGGAACAGAAGTAACCCAGCTGCCTGCAAGCTGACTGAGCTGTACCCCTGCCTTTCCCCTCTTTCTTCCCTTCACATTATAATAGGCCACGAGTTTAGAAGGTATATAGGATATTGCTGAGAGCTGAGAGTGGGATCATTGTGAATTAATATCATATGTTTTCCGCAAACAAAGGGAAATAATGAGAATATCTTCATTTTTTGAGGACTCACTGTATATGAGGCACTCTCTGGGAACTTCATGTGAATTTATTTACTCAGTGATCATAACTCCATATTGTTATTATTGTCTCTGTTTTACCAAGAGAAGGAAACAAAGGTTCAGAGGGTTAATTAACACGTCCTAACCTGTTTGAATGACAGAATTCAAACCCAGGCAGGCTGGCTCAGGAACCATTCTTTCCATCGTTTTGTTAAAGTGCCTTTTAGGGGACTAGTATTTATTAATGCCTCCGTATGCCAGCATCATGTCATGCTCTTTACAAACATTTTCTCATTTCAGCTCCTCAGCAATTCAACAAGATATAGGTATTATTAATACAAGAGGAAAATAAAGGTTAGCTAACTGAAGCGCTTCGTTGTGCGAGGTCTCACAGCTCATAAGTGGCCGAGGTGGGATTGGATCCTGGTCTGATGCTCCCACTGTGCCGTACTTTGAAGCTAATGCACGTTCACAGCCATCGCTTGGGCTCTGCCAATTCTGTCAAAGGCTGCAGATGTCAAGGCTGTCTGCTCAGCAGTTTACAAATGGGAAATCAACTCCTTCCTGTTCTGATTTTTGGATTAGACTCAAGATTGGCATTCTCACACCATCCCTCCTTTTCACACTCCATTAAAGCGCCATTCCTCGACCTTTCATCTTCTTCCATTTAAGTGACCTTGATTTTGGTGGAAGTTGCTGAATTGATGGAGCTGAGATTCAAGTCCCTGCCTTTCCCTAGCCTGGCCTTCTCATCTAAGAAAACAACTTGATGGAAGTCTACCTTTCGGCCAGTGCCAATTCAACCACTCTGAATCGTTCCTTGAGGATTGGAGGAAATCCATCCTCAGTGTTGAAAGAGCAAAATAAAGAAGCAGTCACGTTCCCTGCCAAAAGAGCTTTACTAGCCACACCAAACACTTACCCTCACTTGAACCCTCACTTACTTTAAAGAACTTTCCCTGAGGTGGAGATGGAACCCAGGACTGTGAGCTCCTTTCACCCTACAGGAGCCCTTGGGTAAGGCAAATGGTTAAGCACTCGGCTGCTAACCGAAAAGTTGGCAGTTCAGATCCACCCAGAGGTGCCTCAGAAGAAAGGCCTAGAGATAACTTCTGAAAGGTCACTGCATTAAAAGTCCTATGGAGTGCAGTTCTACTTTCAAACACATGGGTTCACCATGAGTCAAAATCGACTCGATAGCAACTGATTTGGTTTGGTTTTGGTTTTCTCGCTACAGTTAAGCTGTTGAACTCACTTTCTTCCTGTCTTGTTTTTATTTTATCAGGCTTTGCTTTCTAGCTCTGCACATGATTTTTCCCTAATCCCTTCCTCTTGGGCCCTGTGTATTGCTTCACTAGACTCCCAGCTTCCTGCCACCTCTTGGTAGCTTCCAGAGGCATATTCCTGCCCCACTAACTCGTCCTTGCTTAAGGCACCTCTCAAGCTTTTAGATTACTTATTCATTCATTCAATTTAGTGTATGTAGTAGTCATTGAGTACTTGTTCTATAGGTCAAAGACTGCAAGATAGAGATATGTAAGAGACGTAGCCTAGTATTAGTCGGTTGAAGATCCTGGCCCGTGAGCCAGACTAACTGGGTTTGAATCCCAGCTCTACCAAGTAACTATTTAGAAGTTGACATTGGGTAAGTTAGGATTTTTTTTATATGTAATTTTATTTATTTTGTTGTTGCTGAGAATATACACAGCAAAACATACACCGATTGAACAGTTTCTACATGTATGTACCATTTAGTGACATTGGTTACATTCTTTGAGTTGTATAACTATTTGTCTTAGTCATCTAGTGCTGCTATAACAGAAATACCACAAGTGGATGGCTTTAACAGAGAAGAAATTTATTTTCTCACAGTCTAGTAATCTAGAAGTCCAAATTCAGGTGTCAGCTCCAGGGGAAGGCTTTATATCTCTGTCGGCTCTGGAGAAAGGTTCTTGTCATCATCTTCTCCTGGACTGGGAGCTTCTCTGTGCAGCAACCCTGGGTCCAAAGGATGGGCTCTACTCCAGGCACTGCTTTCTTGGTGGTGTGAGGTCCCCAATCTCTGCTTGCTTCTCTTTCCTTTGATCTCTTGTAAGATAAAAGGTTGTGCAGGCCACACTCCAGGGAAGCTCCCTTTACATTGGATCAGGGATGTGACCTTAGTAAGGGTGTTATAACCCCACCCTAATCCTCTTTAACATAAAATTATAATCACAAAATGGAGGACAACTGCACAGTACTGGGAATCGTGGTCTAACCAAGTTGTCACATATTTTTGGGGGACACAATTCAATCCATGACACTATTCTCAACTTCTTTTTCTGAGTTGTTCCTCCCCTATTAACATAAATTCACTGCCCCCTAAGATTTCTATCTAATCTTTGGAATTGCTGTTGTCAATTTGGTCCCATATAGATAGTTCTTAGAAGAGCATAATGCATAATTTTTTTACTAGTTAAGATAAACCATTGTTTGGTTTTAAGAAGACTCAGGGAGTGTTTTTGGTTTAAGGTTTAAAGATTATCTCAGGCAGTAGTGTCAGGGGTAAGTTGTAAGAATTTAATGCAACGGATATAGTGTTTAAAATAGTACACAGTGCATGTTAATGCTTAGCAAATGTTAGCTTATTATTCTCATATGGTTGTATTCATTTTCTATTGTTGTATTACAAATTACCACAAACTTAGCATCTTAAAACAATGCAAACTTATATCTCACAGTCTTTGTAGGTCAGAGGTCTGGGCTCAGCATGGATGGATTCTCTGCTCAGGGTCTTATTGGGCTGAAATCAAGGTGTCAGCAGTGCTATGGTTCCGACCTAGAGCACATGGTTCTCTTCCAAACTCACTAGTGGCTGGCAGACTTCCTTTCCATGTGAACTGAGATCCCATTTTCCTGCTGTCTGTTAGCCAAGACTGGTCTCAGCTCTTAGAGGCCACCCACAGTTCTTTGCCACATGGCTCCCCCGTAGACATCTCACAACATGGCTATTTGCTTCCTTCCCAGCCAGGCAGAGCACATATCTCTCTGACTTCCTGTTCTGCTTCTGACCTTTAGACCCAGATTTAAAGGGCCCATGTGATTAGGTTCAGCCCATCTGGACAATCTCCCTTTGAATTAATCCAAAGCTAACTGATGAGTACTCTCAGTTATGTCTACAAAAATCTCTTTTCTAATATAACGTAGCATAATCATGGGAGTATATCTCATCGTATTCACAGGTTCTACCAACACCCAAGGGGGGCAGATTATACAAAGGTGAGGGTCATTAGGGGTCATCTTAGAATTCTACCTACCACAATGGTCTCTGGTAAGAATAACTATAGTACAGGCCAGTCGCAATTAGTTTTATATAAATGACACACAGCATTCCCAGAGTCCACATACCTTTTCATAGCGAGTCTCTCCTCACTGTGAGGAATGTAGATAAAGGACTATATCAGCATGTACCTCCACTTCCTTCAAATCAGCAGCGTTTGACAAGCTCGCCTCCTTCCCCTCCACCCAATGGCATTTCTCCATGTGTCCTAGGTACCACGTCTGGACGAAAGGCCACGCACCCACAAACTTCGCCAAGTGGCGGACCGCCACCACGCCTTACCGGGTGGAATGGGAGGCCGATTTTGAGCCATACGTTGTCGTGAGACGGGACTGCCCTGAGTACGACCGGAGGTTTGTGGGCTTTGGCTGGAACAAGGTGGCTCATATCATGGAGCTGGATGCACAGGTGAGATGGATGGAATGTCCTACTGGTGTTGCAGGAGGGAAAGAGAGACCTAGATCTGAGAGCAGAAAGGGGACCTTGGAGACAAGAAAGCAGAGACCTAAGAGGGAACAAGATGTGTTCAGACACCTGGAGTAAGAACGTGCCAGTGCTAATCCTTGAGGCTGTTGATTCCTAAACCACTGGTCTATATCCACCCTTAGGTGAGAGTTGGGTTCCAAGCCAGGTCCCAGCCAAATGTGAGTTTCCTGTGACAAACCAATTTGTTGTTTCATTCTCACCCAGCCCAGTGATGAAGACAAGAAAGCAACAGCCATTCATCACTTGGCCTCTGAGTCATTTAAGTGACAGAAAGCATTCTAGGAGCTCTGTATGAGTGACACAAAGCATGCAGATGAGACCCAATTATTATTCCACCCTAGAACTACAAAAGTGATTTTTATGCTGTGTTTAGTCATAAAACCCTTTCATCCATTCAGCTAGTATTTATTGAGAACCTACTTCAAAAGAAATCTTATGCGGAATTCTGATATTTTAAACCAAGGCTTGGCAGGCTTTCTCTATAAAAGGTCAGACTGTAAATATTTTAGGTTTTGTGGCCCTACAGGTCTCTGTGAGCACTACTCAACTCTGCCGTTGTGGTTTGAAAGTAGCCTTAGACAATATGTAAACAGATGGGCATGGCTGTGTCTCAATAAAACTTTATTTACAAAAACAGGAGGGCAGGGCCAGATGTGCTGTAGTGTGCCAACCCCTGTGTAAAACAGCTGAAATCAAAGTTGCTCTGGTAAAGTTAGGAGAAAGTTGCCTGGGCCCCCAGCCCCACCTTTTCCCTTCATATGTTAATTTCCAAGGCACCTCTTTCTTCATAGATCACAGTGTAAATATTTCTCAACGACAGCACTTCAAATTCAGGAAAAGCTAAGGTAGGGCGTCCATGCTGGCTGCTCATGAGAATCACCTGGAGAACTTTGACCAGGTCCAAGATAGTTAAGAGCAATCCCAGGTGATTTTAATGCACACCTAGGATTGAGAATCACTGATGGTAGAGAGAAGGTTGTAGAATAATGTCCATTTTTAAAAACAAAGTGTGACCTCTCATATCTGTATTTTCACTAATACATGGAGAGAGCCCAGAGCTATTAGCAGACAGAAATGTTTAATCGGCCTCAGCTTCTATTTGAAAGAAAAGAAATGTCATATTACTCATGTATCTACCAGTGTTATAAGGGGAACTGGTTCAAATAAAGTTCATTTTTCTGTCCCTGAAACCTGGGCTTTGTTTATTTTAGACAATGTTGAGAGAGCTCTTGCAAACGTGTTTCATTTTTCCTTTCTTTGGCAGCAGCCCATGCCAAACATAGTTTTACCCTTTCCAGTCATGTAAGGAATAATGAGTAAGCACCTGACAGGCAATACAGCCACACCTGTCAGTATAGGGGTTTGTGGGATTTAGAGGGCTTTTTGTCCCTACATGAAATGCAGGGGTGGCTTACCCAGTAAGCAAGGTAAACATGGGCTTACTTGTGCTTACTTACTAGTCTGTAGTGTAGTTTTACATCTGAAACCTACGTGAAATTGGTCACTACAGATTAGTAAGTAAGCCTGTGCTTGCCTTGCTTACTGTGTAATTCATCCGTTAGGGATTATAAATTTGAGAAGAGGTTTTGATTCTGTAGGAAGGTGCTTTGGGGTTGGGAGGGAGACAGATGCCAGCCATACCTAGAAGCAGAATCTTTGATGTGGTGAAAAAATGTCAAATTGTTCACTACAGATGGATGATCTGGTAAGCAAGGTAAGCCCCTTGCTTACCTTGCCTATTGGATAGTCCGCCCTGATGAAATATCTCAGACAGCTAAGCTCTGTGAGTTCTAGTGTTTTCTTTTCATGGTTTTTCTCATTCCTCACCATCAGCTAGCTGTCACTTCTTGCTGCCATCACTACTTATCTGTAACAGCTACCATCACCCTTCACAATTTCCCTTTTCTGATTACCTTCTGATCTGCTCTGGGCTAGGAAACTAGATAACCACAATTTATTAGAAATTATGTCCAAAAGCAGAGTAAATAGAATCTGAGTGAAGGTATGTTGGGTGCTGCTTTGAGTTCCATGTTCTGTATTTTGACCGCACCAAACCAAAAAACCAAACCCATTGCTGTCGAGTCAATTCCGACTCATAGTGACCCTATAGGACAGAGTAGAGCTGCCCCATAAGATTTCCAAGGAGCAGCTGGTGCATTCAAACTGCTGACCTTTTGGTTAGCAGCTGAGCTCTTTAACCACTGTGCTACCAGGACTCCTTTGACCATACAGAGGCTTTTTATGTTTGATCTACGTTTTTAACTGTCTTCTGCCAAGTTGGTGGTGTAACTTGTAATAAGAATGTGTAGGGGAGAGTTGTGTTCTCAGTGAGCTTCAGTCCAGTTGAACATTTAGGGGTTTTGGGGAGGTTGTCTGTTTTTTTATTGTGGTCAAAATATATATACCACAAGATTCACCAATTCAACATTTTTTACATGTGCAATTCAGTGACACCGTTTACGTTGATCATGTTGTGTAGCCATCACCAGTATCCATTGCCAAGTTTTCCATCACCAAAACAGATATTCAATGCTTTCTAAACAATGACTCCTCCTTTGCCCCTCCCTGCCACCCCTGGTAAACACTAACAAACTTTGGTCTCTATGCATTTGCCTGTTCTAGATATTTCGTATGAGTAAGGTCATACAATATTCGTCCTTTTATAACTAACTGATTTCACTCACCATAATGTTTTCAAGATTCAGCCATGTTATAGCATGTATCAGGAGTTTCATAATTTTTTAATGGCTGTGTCTTATTCATCTAGTGCTGCTCCAACAGAAACACCACAGGTGGATGGCTTTAACAAAGAGAAGTTTATTCTCTCACAGTTCAGTAGGTTACAGGTCCAAATTCAGGGCGTCAGCGCCAGAAGCAGCTTTCTGTCTCTGTCATCTCTGGAGGAAGGTCCTTGTGATGCATCAGTCTTCCTTTAGTCTGGGAGCATCTCAGCGCAGGAACCTCAGATCCAAAGGACACGCTCCGCTCCCAGCACTGCTTTCTTGGTGGTAGGAGGTTCTCATGTGTCTCTGCTCGCTTCTCTCTTTTATATCTCAAAAGAGATTGCATTAAGACACTATCTAATCTTCTCAACCTCATCAGTATAACCGCATCACAGTGATAGAATTTACAACACATAAGGAGATCACATCAGATTACACAATCGTACAGTACTGGGAATCATGACCCAGCCAAGTTGCTACACACATTTTTTGAGGGGCACAATTCAATCCATGACAGGCTGTATGTAACTACCACGTTTTGTTTATCCATTCGTCTGTTGGTGGACATCTAGATTGTTTCCACTCTTTGACTATGTGAAAAGTGCTACAATGAACCTTAGTTGGAACATTTGTTTTTATTTTCTTCATTCCTTTTTTTTTTTTTGTCTCCTCTTTTGTACTGATCCATGGAGGTTGTCAAATCTTATCCATGTCCTATGAGAAATCACAGAAACAGATGTCGGTTAATTGAGCCAGAGATTCCCCTATGGTTTGCACCATCCTAGAGTGACCATGTGCGTGTAAACTCATGTTTATCAAGAACTTTTATGGGCCATGAGCTGTGCTCGGCACTAGCCGTACATTATTGATTTCATCCTTACAGTCATCCTCTGAGGTCAATATTTTATAGATGAGAAAACTAAGATTCAGAGAAGCTAAGTAATTTGTCCAAGGTCATAGCAGTGTCCCTGCTTTCTTTCAGTGGTGCTACGTTGCTTCTTGGTGTCATTCACCAGTTCATTCATTCACTTAGTCATCCATTTGGGTATTCACCGCCCAACGATGGGGGCTCCTAAAAGTGCTCACACTGCTCTTGTCTTCTTCCAGGAATATGAATTCATCGTGTTGCCCAACGCCTACATGATCCACATGCCTCACGCCCCCAGCTTTGACATTACAAAGTTCCGTTCCAACAAGCAATACCGCATCTGTCTCAAAACCCTGAAGGAAGAATTTCAGCAGGACATGTCCCGCCACTACGGCTTCGCTGCCCTGAAATATCTCACGGCTGAAAACAACAGCTAGCACCAAGGTGCCCACCGCTAGGGAGAGACATACCGCAAGGGAAGAGCCACTCGTTGTTGGGGGCCCAGCCTTCAAACTCAAAATTTAGCAATGCTTTTTGGTTTGTTTTTATTTGTCTCTTTGGCCCAACAAAGCTGCCCTCACTACAGAGATCTGGAATGAGGTTCCAGCAAGCCCCTCTCTGCCCTGCAACCCAGCATTCCCAGAATGTGGAAAAACAGCCCACCTATACTATCTCTTCAAGAATGGGACACGGAGGGTGAGAGGGAGTAAAGGGACTGTCACCTTACCACAAAGCTACACAACCAAGGCAGGTCTTTAGGACGTTCTTGTTGCTTTTTAATAATTATGCTTCCCGTCATAGCTGGGGAGAAATGGAAGTCAGGGTGCTGGGGCTTAGCTATCCCAGGAAATAAAAGCAAAAATGTCTCTTCATTAAGAGGGAACTTTCTTTGCCCTGCAGTCTAGATCGGTACACAGGAAGGAAGGCAAACCAATGATCTAAACCAACTACTTGGAAAAATCCAATGGGGACATTGTATCTGGAGGGACCTGGAGGTGGTGGTGGTTGGTTCTTTCTCCAAGGTCACTCTCGTTTTGTTTTGATTTGTTTTTGTTTAGGGGATTTTGTTTGTTTGTTTTTCATCTGAGAATCCAAAATAGAAAAAGCTGATCCTTTCAGGTTCTGAAGAAGCAGCCACCTCAATGTCCCTCTATCAGCAGTGGCCCAGCAGGGAGGACAAGCATCTTCAGCTGGTAGTTAACCATGGGCAGCTTTCTTCAGGATCATCACTGAATCTCCCATGATTTTGAATTCCTTACTCTCCTGAATCCAGGGGCAACAGTGGGGACTGCAGAAATGCTTGGGCTGACTGTGTCATACCAGTCACATCTTCTTACTGGCAGTGACGGTTTCACAGGGAAAGGGCTTTGAAGGAACTATTTCAGTGCACAAGAAAGGTATGAACCTCTCAGTCCTTTAGAAGAACTTTAATGATTCACGTGAGCCCAGGGCTAAAGATTCATGTGTTGTCTGGAGACCAAGGGGAAGCACATGTTTGGATTCTTCTGTATCATGCCTGATTCACTGTGGATGGGAAGAGGTCGTGACCTCTGTCTCCCCTTGGGACCTGCCCAAGGGTAGGCAACACCTTCACCGCTACACAGATCGAGGAGACACTGGACTTTTTACCCATTTTCTTTAATCTTCAATATTAATGTTGTGTTTACATTGATGAGAACAAGAGTTAATGCCCTACCCTCTGCTGGGCTGTTTGTATTGAGTTGCAATGTGACCAGCGAAAGCTGCATTCAATAAAAGGAAGTACAGACTGTTTCTTCCCCATGCCCCTCCCACTCCTGTAGGATGCTACTGGGACCCACTTCAGTGAAGAGAGCAAAATCGATAAACAGCAACTTCACACTTTCTGTTCTCTGGTTTATTTTTCTCATCATTTGAATTTTAACCTTCTTTCCCCACCCCCTCCTTGCCTGAAGGTAAATCTCACTTTATCCTGTAACCCTCAAAGCATTTTCAGATTTTCCATCTAGCTTCTGTCTGAACATTGAAGCCAGATATTTTATAGACCAGCTATGAGCTAGCAAGGTAGCTGGTGGTAATTGGTAGTAAAGTGAACACACCCTCCCTTTGGCCTAGTAGTTATATGGAACTCCACAGCTATCAGATTCATGAGACCCCTCAAAGTGTTATGTGCTCAAGGGGATACTTCACTCAGATTTATACAAAAATTAGGAAAACTACAATTAGGGCCCATCCTCATACAGATAGAAGTTTATATACACACATACATATATATGTACATATACATGCATGCACATGTATGCATATATATATATATGTGTATGTATATATATAATATAAAAGTAATATCTGAATAATGTAAAAAGTAAAACAGTATAAAAGTGTGCAAAGTACATATAAAAATCCCCTTCCTCCAGTGGTATACTGAAGCTAGCTCCTGCCAGCTCATGAGAAATTACTGTGTGCATCTCTTTCCATCTCCATGTTCGGTGACATCATGTTTGTAGCTTGAAATCAGCCATGGCAGTATTTACACCATGGGAATCAGCAAACACCACAAATCAGGACATATTCCCCCAGAGAGTCGATTGGTAAACATGTACCTTTTTCTCTCCCGTATGTACACGTAGACAGACAGGCACACAAATTCCTCTTCCTTCCCTAGAGAAGACCACATGTGTTGATACGGTTTTTGAATTAGTCATTACTGGCTACTTGAACCAAGTGAAACTATGCTGGTAGCACCAGTTCTTCCATGTTGAGAGTCCATTTTTAATTCCCTGAAACCTTTTATTTTTCTGATTTTTCTTGACATCTGAGTCATGCCAGACCCCCTTGCTTTCACTTGCATTTCTGTGGGCGTAGCTAGCGACCATATAATTTATCATTCAAACTGGGTCACTTCTGAGAGCGAAAGAAGGTGCTAATTACTTTGAGACAATAGGTATAAACTGGAGAAGGTGTGTAGTTTCATGTACACTGAAATTATTAAAGCCATAAACTGACACTCCAAGCGAGGGAGAGAAAATCCTGTTTCCCCAAAGGTAGGTACTTGACACTCTGAAGCCGATCTCACTTAAGGCTGGAGCTCAGGTGTTGGCTGATGGCCAAGTTCAACACATAGGCTCCAGGTGCCAACCCAGTCAAAGAGGGGTCTGCATCGCCAACGGCACAAATTCCCAGAACTGACATTGGGAGCAGCAGCTCATTGCTAGCCCCAGCCCATGTGGGGAGCTGCAGCCATTTGAGGAGAGCTGATCACTAAGGATGTTGATTCCTTTGTATCAGTTCCCTGGGGTCAAACAGTCTTATAAGTGGGTTACACTGATGTTTTCATATTTAAATAAACCAACACCATCTTGGCTTTCAGTTGGGAAGGACAGGATTTTCCCATTTAGCCCCCATAACATCTAGCTAACTGTTCCAAAGCATAGTGGTGAAAGTCCCCTTTGCATGCATCAGTTCACTGAATCTTTGCAGCAAGACCCTGAAGTGGATATTACTGTTTATAGATAAGGAAACTGAGTGAGCTTTGTGAAATTAAGTAACTTTCTCAAGTTCACATATGTGTGTCAGTATATGGCAGAATTTAGCCAGAATTTTAACCCAAATCTGCTTGTTTGAGGAGCCCATGGGTGGTACAAACAGTTAAGCACTGGGCTACGAACTGAAAAGTTGGAGGTTCCAACCTACCTAGAGGTACCTCAGAAGAAAAGCCTACCTAGAGGTACCTCAGAGGAAAGCCTGACAATCTGCTTCCAAAAGGTCACGAGCATGAAAACCCTAGGGAGGATCGATCCACTCTACACACATAGGGTGGCCATGAATCGGGATTGACTTGAAGGCAACTGGTTTGGTTTTGGTCTGCTTGTTTGGACCCCAAACCTGCAGTGCTGTTCCTTCCCCAGCAAGAAAAACAGGTAGTAAACATTGGCAGAGAAGAAGATTTCAACCTATGTAGGAAGATTATTGGATTTCTAATCTTTGTCCTTCAACATTCATCTAATGACACAGCAACTTCTCCTAGATATTCTGATTTTTGCCATGCCCACAGACTTTCTGAAAATAGATTTGAAATAGACCTGGGCAACTTACGATCGTACTCAGACAGCTGGGTTTAACTCCAGGGAACATTATTGATTCTCTGAATGCTTTTCTTATTTCCTGGATTACATGGCGCACAGGTAGAGTTGCTAAATTTTAAGCTCCACCTTGGACCCCAACTCAGCATGCTGCATCAAAATGATCTCTCAATGTGTTGAGCTGATTTACAGAGCACGTATTTGCTGGGTTGACTAATAGCTTCTTTGTGGCCCGTGATGAAAGGGCAGACCCTACTTTAATTCTGTTTCTTCCAAAGACCCTTCTCTCTTTGAGTTAAGACCTCATTTGTGGTCACCAGGCCTTTCGGGAGCTCTGTGTTAGTGGAAATAAATGGGATTAAAATCCCCTCTCAGACTCAGCTTCTGCGCACCCTTGGTGAAAATAAGAGCTACCATTTATTGAGCCATGACTTCTATGGTAGTTGACACTGATGGATCCTCACACAATATTATAATACAAAGACACTATTATCAGCCCGATTGTTTAGCTAATGGAACCAGCCCTCAGAGAAACCATGTGATTTGCCCAAGATCACACAGGTTGTTAATGGAGGTATCAGGATTTGAACCAAAATCTGACCGGCATCTGTGTCTTTCCACTACTTGAAATCAGCTTGGCTAGTGAGCTTATACATTCACATCTTCATATAGTTCATGGTGATATGCTATTTTTTGCCTTAACTTCTCAATCCTAAGGGTTTATTAAAGTTTTTGGAACATTAGTTGTCTTACATATGCATCCTAGGAGGTTTTAGACCCGTGATGTTGGGGTTACCATCATCTTTGTTTTTATTTTTTTAAACAAAAGTGTTCTTAGTAAGTGTCATTAATTTCAAGGGAGGATCACTACTACCTGGAAAGAGGTAATAGTGGGCACCACAAAAAGGTAGGGTTTCTGACTGTGAGTATTTGGTGCACTTGGTCATTGGTTTTCTCCTACACATTCTGATAGTCTTGAGAGACTCAATCTTCTGGAATGAAAGAAAGTCGGTCAGTTCTGGGACAGTGTTTCCCCACTTGTGGAACCAAGACCATCTGATAAGTGGGGCTGAGGCAATAGGAAATGATTGACAAGGGTCACTCAGAGCAAAATTCTTCAGCAATTCCTGGTAAGTTATGCTGCAATTGCAGGAGAGGAAGAAAATAAGTCCTGCAGTGGCGTCGGAATCGTTTCATTGTGCTCTTTATCGTTTCTTTCTGCGTTCCTCAACGATTTATTGAGCATCTACTTGGACAGTCACTGTGGATATGACAGTGAACCAGGTACAGTCTGCTTTCAGGTAATTGGTAATTAACTAGAGAACAGAAAAGTATACAATGTGAAAAATAGGTTTTACCTTATTGCTTTGGAATAAATTAGTTTTATTTAACTTCTCATTTTAAAACTTAGAAAAGTTTTCAAATTTACAGAAAAATTACAGGAATAATATAATAAACTTGTGTATACCCTTCATCCAGATTCACCGATTGTAACATTTTGTCGTATATGCTTCATCTCTTAGTGTTTTTTCTAAAACATTTGAGAGTGTATTGTAGACATCATGTCCCTTTAAACCTAAATACTTTAGCATGT